ATGAAATTCATAGCAGATCGTTACATTGAATATATATTATATGAATAGTAGTGAATATTGAGTTTCTGTAGCTCTGTATAATAAGTACATAAAGTCGTTTCGACTTCCGTCACTCGATTATGTATAAATCTGCAAGTAACCGCAGGCACGTGCTTTCGTGACAATAAGAAACGGTCGCATGCACACGAAAATACATACATAGGGAAATGCGATTAGCCACGCTTTTTCGAAAGACTACTTATCATATCTTTCCAAGCAGCGTGCATTCGCATTGATTCGGGCAAGAGAGAGTGACGCTTGTGTTTCAGATTCAAGTCTAATTATCGCAATAGAAATTTGTTCGTTGTTTTCCGTGCGAAGAAAGTGACACAGAAATCCGTTATTTCTCAGTTTTAAACTTCTTGGAATTGTGTATTCCGCGAAAATTAGAGGCGTGTGTTACCAATTAATTAAATAAGTTTCCATCTCAAGAGAAGTTTACATTTGATTCGTCAAGTTTGAATGATTCATTTCACGATTGGAGATTACGCGGATATACAAAGTCGCGGACGTAAGTGGTGGTAATTAATTGTGCTTAATAGGAAGATGGTGCAAAAACATCCATCGAGATTTGCGTCGTAGATTTATCTGGCATCGATGCGCAGTGACCTTTCTGATGGTCCATCGTGTCGCATGTGAATCAAACGGAAAAGGGAAATACAAGCATGTGCATAATTACGCCGCGCGAACGATTTTCGCATAGAAATGATTTATTATTCAACAACAATTCGAGGGCAAGCCTGCATATTAACGATGTAATAAGGACAACCGAGCGCGATACATGCGAGAAGATGAAACGATAACAAGAGTGACAAGAAATTCTGAGAAAGGTGAATTTTGGTTACAAAAATTTCCTAGGTTCATGTATAGGTACAATAAGATTTTTGCGTTAATTTGCATAACTGGTTACGATCAGTGTAGAGATAGAGACGCGGTCTCGGGAACTGTTAAATGATGACGAGTAATCCCCATCAAGGTTTAAAAAACTTTTTATCGATAAAATTTGACATCATCACATTTGACGTGTTTTTCTTTTGTTAGTTTATAGGATGTTTATAGGATATTTACAGAATTAAGACTGGACTGTTCCACCTTTCGTTAAACTTCAGCTCACTGTCTTACTCTTTTACTTTCTTATGCTCTTACTTTTTTACTCTTTTGTTTATCCAATAGGTAAATTACCACGTAGTTTATTCGAAGATGGAACAACCGACCCTAAAAAATTCTTAAGATCTTTTTTATAGATCAGTTACCAGGAACAATCTGACTCATCGGTCACAATGAAAGCACCCTTCAATATTTATCATGCAACGACTATCAGTATTTCCGTATATCTCGACGAAACTGCCCACGCAGCACACTTTATCCTGGAAACGTCTTCAAAACATTCAGAGGATATAAGAGACATCCTCTGGACATCTTTAAACTCTATTTTTACAATCAATGATTACCTAAAGATTAAAGGTTACCAAGAAATTTATGAATGAATTTCACTGAAGAATTTCTTGGTAACTTTTAATCTTTAGGTAACCACATGTTGTGAAAACAGACCTCTAACGTCATTTGGAGATCTGTGCTATGTAGGAAGTACTAAAAATCCTCAACAGGAAATATTCAATTAAATATCTTAGAATTGTTGCTGGTGTTTCGCAATTCTGTTCTTTATAAAATGGTAGATAACAAAATTGTCAGAGGAATCGTATCATTTGTTACTTATTGCCATTATTTTTCTTCCGGTTCAACTTAAACTTTGAATGCGAATCAAAAGAGATGATTCATTTCTTAGGATTAGTCGATTATCATAGTCGTGGAATTTTCATTACGCGATCACATCTGGTATACTTAAGGTTTTCGTTAATAGCCTAAATAAATCTTCATAAAAGAGGAGCATTTTCTTGAGTGATTTTACGGTAGATGCCACTTTCGAGTGAATTTATTTCTCTACGAAGAATCGCGCGACGATGAATCACTCATAAACGTACAACGAATGAGTAGCATTCATCAGTAGTATACTGTGGTTAATTTCCGCAGCCTGCAGCTCTCGTATACATAATCTGTCCACATACTCTTCCTGTTCTTTGGAGGAATAAAAAACATCATACGCATACATCTTATTTTGGGATCGTTTTTACATATTTTGTCAAAACACATCAACGTGGACATTATCTCACAATCAGTTTCTATAACGCAAAATGGTAACTTAATTTTTGATCTTGTTTTCTCATTTTATTAATGTTACTGTTCATAATGAAAGTTACAAAACATAAAGATAAAATATCGTGATATAATCAACAAGTTGATTACGAGATATCAATATAAAATCAATCGAGGATATAATCTTGAATCTCTATAAATAATTATCTAGAAAATAGAAAAAAAGACTCATAAACTGATAGGAGTTCTTCTTGACGAAACAAAAAATGAATTTATAATTAATATATGTATGTAAACATCTGTAATTCTGTTTCTAATTACACTCGATGTAATCGTTTTGCTAATTTTCCTAATTAGAAATAGAATAAATTCGAATGCGACGCAACGATGACCTTGATCATGTGAATCCAAGTCGAGAAGAATAACCGAAAGGATTGAATGAATCGGCTGGATCGATAAATGATTAGGATTATAGCACAGTGTACACCGTTTGAGAAAAGAGAGAGGACGAGAGATCGGGAGAGATGAATGAGCACTGATGCGAGCGGAATATAATTTTTGGGCGCGGCATGAGATGCGATCGTCTCGAGCTGATGTCTTTGTCGACCCAGCCTTATTTCTTTTCTATTAAAAAGCGATATTTATATACTGCTGCGCTTTGAGAGATTAACTATCTCATGGACACATAAAAATGCTCTTAATTTTTTATACATATATGTATAACAAAATCATATATAGAGAGTAAAGACTGTAACAATGCTTAAGGGGATAGATTCCCGAGATCATTTTGAAACGAAAATTCTAATATCAAAGTCGAGGGTATAAGTTTTTGAATTATAAACACTTAAAGTTGGCAAATCATACCGTCTAAAGTTCGATTAGGTGCGGTTGAGTTTTTCGTTGTAACACATCTAAATGTTTAGAATTCAAAAATTATTAATTCGAAATTTTGGTGTTAGAATTTTCGTCTTAAAATGATTTCAGAAATTTATCCTTAAGCATTGTTATGGTCTTCAAATATCCTGTAATGTTCGTTTTCATTCGTTCACTTTCAAAGAAAAACGGATTTCAGAATTGACCTTCTCTTCAAAAAATTATAATTTTAGTACTTTATTAAAGTCGACGAATTCAGGGAGTTTCAAATATGTCAATGACTATAAGATCGAACGAATGAATTTACGCAAACGTACATTATAGATATGTTCCAGACTGATATGTCTTTTAATTTTATATAGGTTGTTATCACCCTTTAGTGCGTACTGAAACATACTAAAAATACATGCACATAAAGACGCGTATTTTATTTTTTGCTAAAATAAAAATGAAATTTTACTTATTTATTGATTTTTTTATAGTTTTTTTAATATGCGCATATTTTTTATTTCCAAATAAAATTCAAATAAAATTGTCGGAGTTTTGTTTGCGCGTCGAAAAGCATTTTCATGATAATCACGTTCGTGCAGAATAAAAAGAACAAAAAGTCTTTCGTGTTCGTGTAAGAAAAATTTGCGGAACCAATACAAAATTTTGAAATGATGATTATAGATAAAATTCCAGCCAGGAAGAAGAAACCAGAAAGTTTTAACTGAATAAATTAAATCGGAAGAAAGAAGAATAGGAGGAAAAAAAGAATGATAACATTCTTTATTCATTGAGAGATGAAATGCAGAACGGCAGTAGTGGGCACCAAAAAAGTCTGATGCTTACTCATTCGTTCAATGTACTCAGCCATTTACATTCAAGTTTCGTCTCCATGAGACTCGCGTCTTTTAAGTTAATATACATAAATATCCTTTGTAGTACCGATAACTAAAAGGGAAAGCATTTTGCTTCTACAATGTGTAAAGATGAACTGTTCAGATGATAAATAGGGCATTTCTAAAAAAAAAAGGAATATGTAATTGTAGCGAATATGGGCATCGTTTATCAGCTTCTATTATTTTGGCAAAATCTTACATATTAATTCAAAAAAATTCTCTCTCGCGCATGCAATAAATATTTTAAAATATCGTAAATGTTGCAACTATCAGAGTTAATGTGCAGACAGATATGCCATCGAAAAATTACTTAATCTCGAGGGTTATTCTACATGTGAAATTCATGCATCAATCCCGGTTTGGGATCAAGTCTGCGGTCGTCGGCATCGTTAAAGGAGTTCTTGGGAACGGAAAGCAGTCTAAAATCCGAATGAGTCACATAGTTACCCACACACTCTCTCGAGATATAATTTCCTTCGTGTCTATGGAAAAGAGAACCCTATAATATTAAATTTAAATATACTATTGGAATATTACGCAGAGATATCGACTGCATTATTTACACAAATCGTGAATTCCCTGTCTTCTCATAATGAAGAAAAGAGTAATAACGCTAATAAAATACTTTACCGTTTCACAAATATTAGGATTAATACTTATCTTAATCATTTAATCGAAGATAGACTAAAAATAGATCATCAGGGAAAGGTAGCGTGATTAATGTGAGTCAGAATCTTTCTTGATTTAAAAAAATGGAAAAACAATGCAAGATGTTTCGAATGTCATATGATGAATAAGGGATGATTTTTCGGGGGAGCGAATCCTTTGCGATGAGGGAATATTATCAAGGGAAATTAAAACCTGAAACTTTGTCCTTTGCACCCAATCTGACTAACTATCGTGCGCGCAAAGGCGGCAGCGCTGCAACATGTACCTGCACGTGTAGAAGCGTCGTGGTGCGCGATTGGTGACCGTGGCCATCGCGGCTATGGTGGGAGATCTCGATAAAAGTCAGTAGCAGACTGATTACGAGTCAGAGTAGCGGTGGACTCCGGATAGAGCAGCACCGCGTACCCGCGCGTTTTTCATCGGCTCTCCTCTCCTTTGACGTGGATCATCAGTCCATGATCCATCTTTCCTCGTCCCAATTTTACTATTGACCTCTACTATTTCTCTCTGGTTTTATTTTCTTCGTCTTCCCTCGCTCCTCGATTTCGAGTTCATCGAAACGGACCATCTCTGCAAACCACGGAAGAGGGAGGTCTTTGTCGGACTGAAAATCGAACGAGGTGCACGTGAATACGCCGAGGAGTTACGTTCGGAGCAACAGAGCGAAAGAACCCTAAGGCGAACCATCAGGCGAAGAAAACACTACGAGATCGATAGTGTTGTGGCAACCACGTTAAAGACCACTACCCTGCCAAGTGGTACTCTATCGAGAACTACGGTGGAAACGGTTAACATAGAGAGATCGTTTTTTTTCTCGCGTGTAGTAGAATTAACGCGAGAAGTAACGTTGAGAGTCCGATAGCTCGTATATGCCGACAATTTATCTAAACAAGAGGCTAATCGAAAGTACCTATCATCATCTGACATCGTCCGACATTGCGATTTTCGGGGTGTCTTCGAGAAGCGCGTGCAACGTGTGTATTCAGTGTTTTTTAAAGGGGTGTAAGGAAGAGAGGATACTGTCGCTGTCTACGGGCGAGAAAGTCACCAATTCCTTAGCGGAAATCCAGCTTATCAAAAACACGAGTTGAATCGAAAACAGTCGTCGAAAATATGACGAGGTGGACCGAAATCGTTTTACAACGGCAAAGAACCAACATCTACCTGATAGCGTTCCTCGTTTTGTACGCGAATACAGAAGCAGCACCGACTGATCTCGTCGTTAGCGATACCACTGCCGCGGTAAGAAAATTAATACAATTATTTCTTCATATAAAAAAAGAAAAGGTATATATATATATATACATGGAAATCAAATCTAGTTTCCTCTATCGGTTCGCTGTTTATCGGCACAAATTACGTACATCACGCAGCAAGTTTGTAGCGCGATATATTCGGAAAAAAGAAAGAAATGATTTAGAGCTGTGTAATCCCCATGATGCGTCATATATGAGTAATGCAAGATCGCATTGCGCGTATGTATTCGCGTTAGAACAGTGCAAGTAACATTCTAAGGAAAAACGTTTATCTTTGAATGCTGATACGCGATTACATCGGTCGGGTACCTCAAACTATTTTCGCAATGTATAATTTTTGCAATGTCCTTTTTTCGATTGTTGCTACAACGCGACAAATCGAGTATTTCGTTTATCCATTGTCACGTCAAAAGTCCAGAACTATGCATTTATATGCATATTATGTAGCGGCTATTAAAACTTTAAATTACACGTCTATATTTGGATAACAAACTTAATTATCGACTAGGTAAACGATTGAAAAATTACTCTTTGTTGTCTGGTGTTCTAGAACAAATAGAATGTGGCACTTTGTCTTCACTTACTTTTATTCAACGATTGACTTTTGAGCGAATAGCCATTTGAAACTCAAGCAAAGATTTGGCTTGAGTTTTTAATTAATTATGATATATTCATGTACGTGGATTTATATATGTATATACACGTCCACGTATATATACAGGGTGGGGAAAAAGTATGGAAGCAAACAATTATTTCCGAAACTATTCATTTTTCGACAAAATGTCTTAGACATAATTTTTATGGTATGAAAAGATGTATTATGTGGCATAGACGGCATGACCTTGAAATGACCCTTACGAGCTGCATACAAATAACGTAAAAAATTTCAAATGGAACTCGTCAGTTTTTGTTACAGATTCGTGTAGCTGATGTCGAAACGTTTACAAAACACTGCATATGAGCCCCATTCCCTTAAAAACACTCCCAGTTAAGAAACAATTGTTATTTGTATGTAAGAAACAATTACGTTATTTGTATGCAGCTCGTAAGGGTCATTTCAAGGTCATGCCGTCTATGCCACATAATACATCTTTTCATACCATAAAAATTATGTCTAAGACATTTTGTCGAAAAATGAATAGTTTCGGAAATAATTGTTTGCTTCCATACTTTTTCCCCACCCTGTATATCCACGTGTACAGTCGATAAGGAAAGCCAAGACCTCAACTTTTACAAGTAAAAGGATAACAATGTTCCATAATTCATATTAATTACTGCGCTACACGTCGTCGCACGATACACTTGTTTACACGATCGTGTTGAAGTCATTTGCAATGCTAACAGTAATTGTGTTGGTGAGTATGCATGTTTAAGTAGGAAAATATCTATTTCCACGTGTGTCTGCAAAAATTATTTTGATCGTAAATGAAACTTGAGCTGAAACAAAAGCCTTGTATTATCCTTTTCAATATCTTCTATCGCTTCAAGGATCGTAAAATAATACGAGATTGGCAAAATTAATTTTTTCACCAATAATGCGTCAACCTGATGTTCCAGTTCTTCCTCGGCAAAGTGCCAAGTCATCAGTTCTCGCGCATGTAGTATGTTTCTTTCGTTTTCTTTTCACTTGTTAAATTATACTAGGAAATTGTAAATAATGTATGTTCCTCAACACGGAAATACACTATGCAAAAATCGCGTATATTGGCCTTTGTCGTCGGATTTACAATCTGAACACGGACTAGCCGTCATCAGAATAATAACGATCCGATCATAGATATTCTCATCATCACTCGATCTAGCGATCGTTTGCTCTTTTATGTAGGTACGCTCTTTTTTAAACCAGCTATCTTAGTATTCCTTCTTCTCGATTAAGCGGATCGTAAAAATATAGTTTTCGTTTTGTACAGGAATTTCATTTACGATTTTAGTGTCGTTAAAGTTGTAGCATCTTTGGTTTTCGTCTTCTGCAAAAACATTACCGTTTCACAAAATATTCTGTCTGTAAATTCAGCAGTAGTATAGAATGACACAGCATTTTCGATCGCGATCAAAGAGCTCAAATTTGATACAAGAGTTGCATTCAGTAGAAAAAGCAGCTTTGCAACTGTTGTAAGGTTTTTTAATACGATCAGTTTATACATTTAGATTTAGTGAGGAACTAAAGGCAAGACTAATCATATTAAAGAATTTTATAATAGCAAAGCTGTTTTTTCTAAACGCAGCCAATGATATTTTTGTGAACTAAACCATGTGATTTTCTGGCGGCGATGCACTGTTAAATCTATAGTATAAATTTAACTTAATTTAAGATAAGATTTATGGATTCGCTGATGATGCACAATAAAAAAGCATGTGTCCATATGTAGAATTTTTCTTGTGTTACCACATTTTGATTATTACTTCAATGTAAAATCAACAATGTTGATGATGCACAGTAAAAAATCATGCGTCCATATATAGAATTTTTCTTGTGTTACCACATTTTGATTATTACTTCAATGTAAAATCAACATATAACTGAGATATGTTACTATTTTTGTAATATTTTGATGTGTTAGATTCATGTCACCTTTCTAACTTAACAATTGCGTATGTCAATTAAAAATGGAATATTATTTTGAGTGTTTTTAACACAATTGTTTCAATTAATCTATATATCTCAAAGTCAATTTAATATCTAAGAATTTTTTCATTCACATTATACGAACAAAAATGTTTTATTAACATTTTCTTACGAGTTACTGCAACTACTCTTGTATGTACTCAACTTATTTTATATGTTAGTTTTAAATCATCCCTAAAGTCAAAATAACAAATATAAATGTAAAGTATTGTATCAATTATTTAACATTACTAGTTCGTTAATAGATAACACAAGACGAATGAGTTACTTTAACTTAAAATTTAGAGTGGATTTCCTGGAACATGTAAAAAATGTTAAAATTAATATTTTCTTTTTTACTGTGTGGTTTGAAGAAAACGAAATCGAATAATATAGTACGAATAATATGGTGTAGATAATTATTGTACATTTATATCCTATGTAGACATTATTTGTTAATTATATAAAAATTATTTGTTAATTATATAGACATTATTTGTTAATTATATAGAAATTTGCGCGCCAATATCCGCGCTGTGTATATGCTCTTATTGTTTATATATTTTATTGTATTTTTTAATTTTGAGAGCTCAATTAATATTTATAATTTCGTATTTTTAATTTAAGTCGTTACTGTTTCTACTCAATATGATATTATTTTATACTAAAACGATGATTAAATTTGACATTATATAGTGTTAAATTTAATCATTTTTTTGGTATAAAATAACGATATATTGAGTAGGAGCAGTGGCTAAATTAGATTAAATTTGACACTATAGATTTAATAGTGCACGGTGTTTCGATAGTTTTCAATGCATGAATCGAAGAACGAAACAAAGATGCGGCTTTTGTACAAGTCATTTTTTTTTTCGAACACGAACGATACGTTAACAATTAGCGTCAAGCACACGTAGACGAGAAAGACAAAAAGTCAAGATTCACGATTAGCGACAAACTTACATAGGTATGTTGATAGGACACGCGCTACCAATAGTCAGTGTCATAGATAAAACTCGGACCTCCTTACAATTGAATAATCGGTTGAAATCGTTAGACAATAAACTCGCAAAGAAACGAGAGACTGACAAATAAAAAATCGCAAAGTAATAATGGAAAGTACTTACACCACCAAAACAATCGAGCGAGGAATCATCGGTCAAATTTAAGAGGGACAATAACAAGATATATGTAAATGTTGAAGATGAAAAGATATGTTTAAATTAATAGTTTGTGCAAAATAACGCGCTAATACAATCATTATATGTTAGAGTGACTGTCTTATTATTTCTTGATGAAAAACCGCTATTCCTATTTCCGCGAACGCGTCTGCGTGGTTTACGTAACTAGACACGTGGAATCCACACGTGCGACATACGTTATGTAATACTACTAACGTTTACTCTAAAAATTGTTCCCGCTATCATATTATGTCTAACTGTTAATCTTAATTCACTTAAACATCCGTCATCTCTCAAACGTTCCGTCGATGACACTACATGTCATATGAACATTGAATACGTTTCGGTACCGCGTTGCTCCGAGTTCTCCAAGCGTTTTTTTTTTAAGCAAAATGTAATTCTAAAATTAACAACTGCACTGGTCTTTTTACGTATTAGCATCAATCGACATTGACGCGAAACGTTGAAACGTGAAACGTTGGCTTATCGATAAAAAATAAGAAAAATTCGCATTCGTTGTCATTTGCACCGCGATGACTCATATGACGTATAGACTTCAATCACGCGTTACTTGCAAGCTGAACTATTTTACTTCCGTGCCTGTTGAATCAGCGACACTTAAGACCTTTTTAAATGATTCACTCGTCTTCATTATTTACCAATTTTGCAGTGTATTTACAGATATATTCGAATTTTATTATTCGAATTTTGAACTTTATTTCAAGCGTAATTTTTACAGACACTGACATTAATTGATTTCTCATATTGAGCAAGCTCAATCGGTCGATGATTATTTAAAAAAGTATATGCGAATAATTTATTCTCTACGATATAAAAAACCTGTCAAATTATTCTGCAATCGCACAAAACAGTTGCTTTCCTACCGATGCAGCGTGATGAAATAGCAAATAGATAAAATCACGAGGTGATAAGTGTCATGTGTTTCAATTATTATTATTATTTATATCTGACTCGATATTATATTGTAACATCAATGATGAACACATCAATTTAATGAACACGGTTTATTCTAAAAATGTGAGTGAATTTTTTTTAATTTTTGTAAAAATAATATAATAAATCATATATTTTTAAAGGTAATTTAATTTTTTTTTTTCCGAACTTACGCCACTTTTATGGAGTATAAAGGCTACTGTGTACTGTTACATACGGAAAAGCATATTGTATAAAGCAGTGGAT